TAATAATAATAATATTGTTTTTAAGCTCTGCTTCACCTTACAAGGCAGTGTGGGTTGGAAATGATTACAAATACATAAGGTAGTCTGATTAAGATAACCGTGTCTGAAATAATAAACTTGAAAGTCCATGTGTAACAGTTTGCTCTATGTAACAAGTATCTTTTCTGTTTTTAATATACAGTACTTAGGAGTGCTAGTGTGTGCACTAATTAATTTTTTTTATTTAAATTTATGTTACAGTTAGACTTCGGCTTTACGCATTTCTACTATGCATACGTTTTATCTTATTTGCCGTGAGATTTTTTTATTATTATTAGTTATTTTTATTTTTAGTTTTTTCTGTTCTTACGGTTTTATTTTCTATATATCGAACGCTTCCAGTTAATGTGTTCCATGTATAATTAGAAAATTATGGGGTTCTATGTGATTTAGCTGACTACATAAAGGTGGGTGCTCAGTCATACTGTATCCATTCCTTATATTTATTACTTTCACTGTACTGTATCCATTCCTCATTATTCATTACTTTACTGTACTGTATTTCATTGCAGATTTTATAAAAATAAATAAATAAATAAAAATTATTTATGTTTTATTTACGATTTGTGGGGGTCCCTAACCTCGTCGTAAGTTTTTGGTATGGATGGCTTGTTTTGGTGAAAATATTTTAATACCTTTTCTTCCAGTACACGTAATGATTCGGGTCAGTGTGCAGTGTAGTGACCTTCTGGAAATCCTTGGCTCCAGGATTATCTCCTGCTTGTGTGTGTATTTGCTCACGGAAACTCTCGATATTGCAACTTCTGTACATTTCACATCTTCGTGTAGTTTCTAAATATCAACATAGCATAGCGCCAATAATACTTTGCTAATTATAATGCTGTACATCTTTTTCACACCAAAATGAATACCTGTGGTAGAAGATTTAACAATAAATAATCTGTTATAATATGGAAAATTCAGTAAAATAGTTCTAAAGTAAAATCACGAAATATGTTTCTATTTTAGTCTATTACAGTATATACCATTACAGTACTTGGCTGGCTAAATCTATGGCAAACCTTTTCACTACAGAATTACTCTCAAGAGAATGATTAATCCATATTTCTAATTTAGAACAGAAATTTGACTGTAAAACAGAGGATTTTTGATAGAGAGTTGATAGTCATAGAAACAATTATTTTACCTTATGCTTCCATGCTGCCCTTGGCAAATATCTAGAAGTAGTTTTCACATATAAATAATGCTTATGGGTATGTTTGGTGGTATAAGAGGCTGTATGTGTTGGTTGCTTTCTTAGTAAAATGTTATTATGCACAGTACAGTATAAATAATTTTGTTGTTATAATGTAGTAAATATTTGGAAATTATGTTTTGGTGAGTGTAGAAACAATCTGTTTTTTTCTGTGAGGTGGCGTTGGCAGGAAATGATGTGGAAAACATTTAGTTGACCAAGGTATATGGTCTTTTCCACAAAGATTGCACCTCACTAATGGGGGGATTAGTTGCAGCTACATGCCAATGGATATGATTTGTCTATCAAAATGGTAATCATATGTTGTCAAATATTAGAAACAGTTACAGTGTTGCTAGAAATGACATTAGAGTTAGGAACCTGACAATAGAGACTGAAAGAGTATTGCTAAGGTAACCATGGATAAGCTTTTATTGGTGAGAAATATTGTAAAACAATGATGATGGATATCGTAAACAAACACAATTAATTATGGTAACTGTGGAGGAGTCAGCACCAAAAGGGACTTATAGAATTGCACCAAATTTCAGATGTTTGATGGAACTGAGTAATAAAATTAAAATTTATTATTATTATTTTTTAAGTCATTATTTTTGATCAAAATTACACTTTTTCAGTGAAGGCATGAAAGAAGAGGAAAACAATGGGGGAGAAACACTGCAAACACTTATCATATGGCAGTAATTTCACGCTCTATGTGCTTTAGGCTAAGAAATAAATTATTAACTGCCATGGCGGCCAAATCTCCCATGGCAACTATGCTTTGGTTCACACTGTTCTACAGCTTCCTCCCCAACCACCCAACACTCAACCTCATATCCACCTGCACTTACGTAATTGCTCTGTCCATAATAACCATCCACATATTCGATCACGCAGTTGGGACCAAAAATTTTCAAATGAAGTTTAACATTTTCTATACCAAACGTTTTTGTCCCGTGCGTAGCGTGGCTTTGGGTCAACGATAAGTACAGCTCCCTGTTTGCAGTAGAGCGCTTAGTTGGTGTTTGCAATGTATCTACAACTGATCGCTTGAGTACCGGTTATTATTTTCGTATTTAATTGACTTTATAATGCTCGGAAAGCTTTTACAAGGTGAGAGTGGTGGTGGTGCTCAGAAGAAAAGGAGACAATTACTTTTGAGACGAAATGAAGATAATAATGCAATATGAAATGTAAAAAATTGTACCAACAATTTCACGCGCTCTAGGGGTTTCAGACCACCACATCCACTATTCTGAAGGACAAGAACGTATTCGGTGATGTAGTGAAAGGATCAGCACCTATAAAGGAACTATACTATTAAGAAAAGACAAGGTCCCATTCACGAGATGAGATTATTGTTGATATGGATGGAAGACCAGATGCAGTGTACTCTAAGTTTTAAATTTACAGGCAAGGCAAGAAGTTTGTTCGGCAGCCTGGAAGAAGCAGGCAGGAGATGAGTGCGAATAAACCTTACAGCAAGTCATGGGTGGTTTAACAGATTTAAGAACCGCTACAGTTTACATAATGTCAAGGTGAGTGGAGAGGCCAGTGCTGATGTTGGTGCTGTCAAGCTTTTAAGGAGGTGTGATCGTGATTGTGGAAGGAAATTATTTGCCTGAGCAAATATTCAACGTGGATGAATGGATTATTGTGGAAGTGCATGCCTGAACGGACATACATCCACAAAGAGGCGCAAAACAAATGCCAGGATTCAAGGCATTCATGGACCGAATACACTCCTGTTGGGGAATGTTGCTGGTTTTCAAGATCAAGCCATTCATGATCTATCATTCAGAGAACCCCGGGCTTTTAAACATGTCAGCAAAGCACACACTGCCAGTATTTTATTGCAGTAACAAGAAAGCCCGGGATGACCCTAGTACTGTTTGAGGATTGGTTCTATGAATTGCTTCATTCTCGAGAGCAAGGAGCATTGTCTGCAACAAGGTTTGCATTCAAGATTTTGCTGATTTTGATAATGTTTCGGGACACCCACCACACTTGGAAGATATGCACCCTGGATGTTAAGGTAGTCTACATTCCACCTAACACTACCTCTGTCATCCAACCCATGGATCGATGTGCTATTGCAGCTTTTAAAGTAAATTATTTACATACGCATTTCAGCCAGGCTGTTGCTGCTACTGAAGGTGAGAAAACGCTCAGACAGTTTTGGAAGGAGTACAACATTTTGTCATGTATAAAGAACATTATTGCAGCATGGGATGAGGATACACAACAGTGCATGAATGGAATATGGAGGAAACTTGAAAAGATATGTGCACAGTTTCAGAGGCTTTAATGAAAATGAAGTTATTTCAGAGATTAGAAACAAGATAATGGAGTTGGGTAAACAGCTTAAGCTAGAAATTGATACTGAAGATGTTGAACAGTTGGTTGAAAGAGTAGCAGAAGAGCTCAGTAACGAGGATCTTATTGAACTGGAAGCACACAAAAATGCAGAGGAAGAAGCGAGTCGAAATGTAGAAGAAGAACCTGCACCCCCAAAAATTTTCAGTGAAGCAAATGGCAGAGGCATTTGCAACAATTAATAAGAGGATGCAATGTTTGACGGAATGGATCAAAAATGTTGAGCTGCTTTTGCCAAGTTGACAGAATGGTCCAAGATGCACTTGCTTGTTACAGGGAGATTTATAATAAAAGAGAAAGCAACTGTGCAGTCTAAATTGACATCTATTTTAAAGAGTCCCCAGTACTGGCTTCCTCACGCCCCAGTGCTGCTCTTTCACTCTAAAGATGAACCAATACCTTCAACCAGCAAGTTTTCCTATACATAAACCTGTCTGAAGAAAGCTTGACATTGATGACCCACCCAGCACTGTCTCCTCCTCAGCCATCCAATTAATATAGTCTCCATGTATCCTGTCAGAAAAATTATGGAGCCCTGCGTATTCAGCTGACTACATTAGCAAGTGCTCAGTCACACTGTATCCATTCTTCATTGTTGATTACTTACTGTACTGTATTTCATTTTTAGATTTTATATGTTTTTTTTTTGATTTTCCAACTTATTACCTGGATTTGCGCCCCAACCCTGTCAAGTATGGGGAAGGAGTTGTATATGGAGTGTCTGTGGCTTTGTTTACATATCAAGAAACAAATGACTCATCTCTCATAGGGATGTTTATTATGATTTGCATTGACTGAAATCGTGTATTTTTCTAAAGATGTTGTCTGGATGATAGTAAGAAAATTGAAATGACAATGTACAGGCTAGTTAGGTGAGGTTAGCTAGATTAAGTAGGTTAGGTAAGATTGGGTCAAATTCTAATAGGTTTTGGCATTTCGCTTCATTTTTTGTTCAGCATCCTGCAACAATATCTCCAGAATTTTTGGTTCAATTCCATGCTTCTAGTGCTAACCATCTCTCCACCTTTACCTCTTATTACTAATACACAAAGAAACAAAGAATAAATCTTTAGTTAACACAAGTCAAGTGGGTTCTGTAAAAGTGTATTAGAACTCTGAATTTATTTATGGAGCAACATATTGGACCATTAAATTCATAAAAGTCATCAAGGTCATTCAAGTACTATAGTGAATGTGTTACATATGTGCCATGTCTTAATAGAATATCTAAAGTGAAAGAAATCAAAATTAAGAGCTTATATGAAAACTTAATAAAATTTGTGAGTGTTAGAGAATATTGATATAAGTAATGAAATAATGGTAGTACAAGAGCTACAAATTACAATATAAGTATTGGTTTGAAGATTTATAGTTTACCTGAAACTCCGGTCAATATGTTCTGCTCTATGATGTGTCGTTGTTCTCAGCACTAGTTATAACTTCCTTTGGCATCTTATGACCATATGACAATCTTCTTTCTTCATTTATCTGCCAAAATCATATTGGGTCGTCCATAAGATAATAAACAGATATTTGGGATATTTTTCAAACTTTTTCTCTGCTGTAATGAAAAGTAGTCATAATCATAGGAAACACAAACATACTGTACAGCCACTTTTCATTTCTGTTACTCATCTACCTAATGCTGTAACACATGCCTTGTGGTACTTCTCACCGTAGAGAGAGCCCAGATCTTTTCCAGATACTGTACTCACTTAGCACTATGCTTTTTCCAATTCTTACACACACACTGCCATTTCTTAGTGCAGCTTCAGCCAAACTATTTGTCTCCTTGGTTTCCTTCCAACCATCTACCTCAGAATTATATACCACTGTATTTTTTTTTAAACTTTCACTTTCCATTCTCTTGATTTAAATGATATCCCCGTTAGCCGGAACAATTGGTGCAGAGCACTTCCGAGGATGAGAGATTTCCGGGTAACCAGACGACTTACTCAAACCCAGAAAAATTCCTTATCCCGGGAACCTTTTCCAGATGTGTGTATGTGTGTAGAACACACCTCAACATCACATATACACACCCCCAACACCACCCACACACCCCCAACACCACCCACACACCCCCAACACCAATCACACCCCCAACACCACACTCACACACACCCCCACCACTCACACACCCCAACACCACTCACACACCCCAACACCACTCACACACACCCCCCAACACCACTCACACACCCCCAACACCACCCACTACACCACCTGCACACCCCCAACACCACCCACACACCCCCAACACCACCCACACACCCCCAACACCACCCACACACCCCCCAACACCACCCACACACACCCACCACACACCACCTTCACACACCCCCCAACACCACCCACACACCCCCAACACCACCACCCACACACCCACCACACCACTCACACCCCCAACACCACCCACACACCCCCCAACACCTCACCCACACACCAACACCACCCACACACCCCAACACCACTCACACACACCCCCAACACCACCCAAACACCCACCACACCACCCACACACCCCCAACACCACGCACACACCCCAACACCACCTTCACACACACCCCCAACACCACCACTACACACACCCCCAACACCACTCACACACCCCCAACACCACGCACACACCCCAACAACACCCACACACCCCCAACAATCACACCTCACACACCCCAACACCACTCACACCCCCCAACACCACCCACACACCCCCAACACCACCCACACCCCCAACACCCGCACCCACACACACCCAACACCACCCAAACACCCACCACACCACTCACACACCCCAACACCACTCACACACACCCCCCTAACACTCACCCACACACACCCCCAACACCACCCACACACCCCCAACACCACCCACACACCCCCCAACACCACCCACACACCCCCAACACCACACCACTCACACACCCCCAACACCACCCACACACCCCCCAACACCACCCACACACCCCCAACACCACCCACACACACACCCCCAACACCCACCACCCACACACCTCCCCAACACCACGCACACACCCCCAACAACACCACTCACACACCCCCAACACCACCCACACACACCCCCAACACGCACCCCCCCAACACCACCCACACACCCCCACCACTCACACACACACCCCGACACCACTCACACACCCCAACACCACCCACACACCCACCACACCCACCCACACACCCCAACACCACTCACACACACCCCCCCAACACCACCCACACACACCTCAACACCACCCACACACCCCCAACACCACCTACACACACCCCCCAACACCACCCACACACCCCCAACACCTCACCCACATTCCACCACACCACGCACACACACCTCTAACACCACTCACACACACTCTAACACCACCCACACACACACCCCCCAACACCACCCACACACCCACCACACCACGCACACACACCCAACACCCAACACCCACACACCCACCACACCACGCACACACACCCCCACCACTCACACACCTGCAACAATCTCCACCCACACACCCCCAACACCACCCACACACCCACCACACCACGCACACACACCTAACACTCACCCACACACCCCCCCAACACCACCCACACACCCACCACACACCACCCACACACCCGCACCACACCACCCACACACCCACCACACACACGCACACACACCTAACACCTCACCCACACACCCCCAACACCACCCACACACACCCACCACACCACCACGCACACACACCTAACACCACCCACACACACCCCCAACACCACCCACACACCCCCAACACCACCCATACACACCCCAACACCACCCACACACACACACCCAACACCACCCACACACACACCCACCACACCACGCACACACCCCCAACACCACTCACACACCCCCAACACCACCCACACACCCCCCAACACCACCCACACACACACACCCACCACACACCACGCACACACACACACTCTAACAACACCACCCACACACCTTCAACACCACACCCACACACCCACCACCACGCACACACCCTCAACACCACCCACACACCCCCAACACCACCACCCACACACCCCCAACACCACCCACACACCCCCCAACACCTCACACACCCCCAACACCACTCACACACACCCCCCCCAACACCACCACACACCCCCACCACCCACACACCCCCAACAACACCACTCACACACACCCCAACACCACTCACACACCCCCCAACACCACTCACACACACCCCAACACCACCCACACACCCCCAACACCACCCACACACACCCCAACACCACCCACACACACCCCCAACACCACCCACACACCCCCAACACCACCCACACACCCCAACACCACCACACACCCCCCAACACCACTCACACCCCCAACACCACACCACACACACACACCCCCAACACCCACACACCCCCAAGTAACACCACCCACACACCCCAACACCACTCACACACACCTCTAACACCACCTACACACCCCCACCACCCACACACACCCCAACACCACACACCCCCAACACCACACACACCCCCAACACCACCCACACACACACCCCCAACACCCACACGCAGACACACCCCCAACACCACCCACACACCCCCCAACACCACCCAGGCACACACCCCCCCAACACCACCCACACACCCCCAACAACACCACCACACCCCCAACACCACTCACACCCACACACACCCCCAACACCACCCACACACCCCAGCCCACCCACACACACCCACACCACACACACACACCACACACACACCCCACCACCCCCACACACCCCAGCACCCACACACTCCCAACACCACCCACACCTCCAGCACCACCCACACACCCCAACACCAGCCCACACACCCCCAACACCACCCACACACCCACCACACCACCACACACCCCAACACACCACACACCCCCGACCCACACACACCCGCAACACCACCCACACACACCCCCCCACCCACACACCTCACACACCCCACACACCCGCACACACCCCCAACACCACCCACACACACCCCCCAACACCACCCACACACCCCAACACCACCCACACACCCCAACAACACCACACACCCCCAACCACCCACACACCACCCACACACACACCTCACCCCCAACACCACCCACACACCCCAACACCACCCACACACACCCTCAACACCACCCACACACCCCCAACACCACCCACACACCCCCAACCACCACCCACAACACCCCCACACACCCCAACAACCCACACACACACCCACACCAGCCCACCCCCACCCCCACCACCCACACACACAACACCACCACACACCCCCACACCACCCACACACCACACCCACCACACCACCCACACACCCCCAACAACCACCCACACACCCCCAACACCACCACCCACACACCCCAACACCACCCACACACCCCAAATTCACCCACACACACCCCCAACACCACCACACACACCTAACACCACCCACACACCCCCAACACCACCACACACCCCAACACCACCCCACACACCCACCACACCCCCACACACCCCCCAACACACTACACACACCCACACCACCCACACACAACACCACCCACACACCCCACACCACCCACACACCCCCCACCACCCACACACCAACACCACACACACCCCCAACACACCACACACCACCCACACACCCACACACCCCCAACACCACCCACACACCCCACACACACACACCACCCACCACACACCCCAACACCACCTCACACCAACACCACCCACACACCCCCAACACCACACACACACCCAACACACCCACACCCACCACACCACCCCACACCCCAACACCACCCACACACCACCCACACCCCCCACAACACCACCCACACACACCCCCAACACCACCCACACCACCCACACACACCACCCCACACATAACCCACCACACCCCCAAACAACCACCACGCCACACACCACACACACCCAACACCACCCACAACACCCCACTCACCACCACCACACACACCACCACACACACCCACCACCCACACACCCACCACACCCACCACACCACCCACACCTCACACTCACACCCACCAACACCACCCACACACCACCCACACCACCCACACACACACCCCAACACCAACACCACACCACCCCCCAACACCACCCACACACCCCAACACCACCCACACCCATCAACACCACCCACACACCCACCACACCACGCACACACCCCCAACACCACCTCACACAACACCCCCTGACACCACTCACACACCCGCAACACCACCACTCACACACCCCCAAATTACCCACACACCCCAACACCACCCACACACCCCCACCAACCCACACACCCCCAACACCACGCACACACCCCCACACCTCCACACACACCACACCACACCACCCCACACCTCCACACACCTCCCACACACACACACACCCCACCACCCCCACACCCCCACACACCCCCCACACCTCCACACCCCAACACCCACCCACACACACCTC